GAGGGGAGGGGGTGGGGAGGAAGGGGAGGGGGGCTCCGGGCACCAGCCGGGGACAGAGGAAAAGGCACCGAACCCTGCACTCGGGGTCTCTCCCCCCAGCCCGCTCCGGACACTGCGCTCCAACCAGGAGGAGCAGGAGGAGGACGAGGATGAACAAAATGGCCGCCGCCACCAGCCAGGCAGGAAACGGGGCAGAGCGCAGGCGCGGCCCGCCAGGTCAACGCTCAGGCCAGCCGCGACGGCCTGAAAGGGGGATAACTGAGTGGGGAGAAAAAACGGGCCGCTGAGTAAACCCTGTGCCGGGTCACGAGGGATCACGTCTTCGCTTGGCGACTGCTGGCCAGCCGAAACCCAGCCAGCTCAAGAAGAAACCGAGGGAAAAGAGAACCGCCGTGAAGCTGAAGTCTCTGGGAATTGTGGTCCTAGAAACGAGAGAGGGAAGCACTTCTCCAAAGGACTTCTGGGAACTGTAGTCCAAAGGAGCCGGCCGGCGCCCGCGCCGCACTGGGACGCGAAGAAGAGACTTGTGGGTAGTGTAGTCGTACGTGAGGGCGTGCGGCGACCAGGAAGTCGGCGTGCTGGGTGGGGAGAGGAAGAATAAAGGCGACGTTAAAAGGCAGGGAAACGAAGTGGGCAAAACGCTGTCCGAGAAGCAAACTACAAATCCCAGAGTGCCTCGCGCTGGGGGCTGTCCGAGGACTGCTGTAGGCATTTCAAGGCTCTTCAGTTGGTTCTTTCTGAACTGCAGCTCCGCCTCCGTCCGGTCTGAGAGCGGTTTCTTCAACTGCAGCAGAGGCAGTCTTGTGGCTCCGCGCGGTGTCCGAGCCCGCAGGCCTTTCAGGCACTCCTCTTAATCAAAACGGCAGGCCCGCGGTCATCAACCGCCGCCCCACGCGACGTGCGGGAGGACGTCGGACCGGGGCTGAGCTGGGGAGCTGCTCTCGCCTGTGCTCCTCGGGCTTCCCAGGGGCCTGCCGCGTCCTTCCGGCGCGTTTTTCCACAAATAGGTATTCCTATTTTAGGTCTCCTGCTTGTAGATTGCCTTACAAGTTTCAAAGGTTTCCCCAGCCATTATCTCATTGGAGAAGGGGTAAGAAGAGCAGCCCTCCATTAAAATGGCTTATTAAGTCAGTGTACGGTGCGGTGGTCATGCCCTCCTACCTTCTTATTTAATTCGTAGAGTGAGAAAAATCTTTGAACAGAGCAGTGCACAGACTTAAGGTTGTGTTTATAGCATCCGTCATGTAAACAGGGAACAAAGTCTTTCCTGAACATGTGGGAGCCATGTTCAAACTGGCTCTGTAGCCCCGTCGAATTTTTTTCACCTGACAGCAGTTTACAGGACGTTTTCTTCCGCCTGCCCCCATCCCAGACATCTTTAGGAGAACGTTATTGAATTCGTACGGTTCCTGTAGCTTAGTGAAGGATGGAGGTGGTGAAGACAGATTTTTTTCATCCTGTCGCCTGAGTTTAAGGGTCCCAGTTAAACGGTGTCTTAAGAGTTGGTTCTGCCAACATGTACTGAGGGCTTACTCTGCAAGCGGCTGTGCTGCTGCTATCACTGAATCCTAATCCTGTAAGGAGAGTCAACTGAGCAGCAGAAGCGTTGCAATGTCAATATGGGGGGGTCGGGGACGGGGATTTCAACCTGGAATGCTTCAAAGAGACCATGACAGGGAGTTGAGCCGCTTTGATTGTCAGTGGGAGCAGCAAAGGGGCACAGAGGCCAAGCTTCATGGCTAAAGTTTTAGGGGAGGGAGGAGTTGGGGAAGGCATGGAGTAGGGGTATTGAGAGCAAAGTTAGAGGGCAGGGGCTTTATAGAACCACGTTGTTAAGGATTGATGTTAAGATTTGGCTTCCAGGCAGTGAGGTGCTATTAAAAAGTTTTATTTTTTTTAATTGGATCTTGGTGTGAATTGTACTTATAATCCAATTCATCATCAATCCATGCCTGGCCCATTATATTAGGTGTATTGCTGCTAATAACAAACGTAGTGGCTAACAACAACCCGAATATATTAGCTTACAGTTCTGAAGGTTAGAAATCATTTTCAGTGAGCAAAAATCAAGGTGTTGGCAGTGCTGTTTCCTTCTGAAATCTAGGGAAGAATGGGTTACTTGCCTTTTCCGGCTTCTACAGGCTGCCTGCATTCCTTAGCAGTTGGCCCCTTCCTCCATCTTCAAAACCAACAGCTTTGGTTGCTTGTCTCTTCTCTGACCTCTGATTTTGGCCTGATATCTCTTTCTGACTGATCCTCCTACCTCTCTCTTTGACTTACAAGGACCCTTTGTGATTACTCTGGGCTAGGATAAGCTCCCCATCTCAAGACCCTTAAATTATTACATCAGCAAAGTCGCTTTTACTATAATGTAATATATTCACCAGTTCTGGAGATTAAGGCATAGACATCTTTGGTGGGCCATTATTCAGCCTACCACTCACCTTTATTAATTTAGTTACCTTTAATAATGAACCCTCCACCTTAAAAAAGAAGTTACTTTTAGTTACCTTTAATAATGAACCCTCCACCTTAAAAAAGAAGTTACAATAGCAATTACATCTCATTCCGTGGTTTGCCTCCCACACATATTCATCCTCCCGCATCCCCTCACCTGGGGTAACCATCATCCCGAATCCTGTCTTTACCAGTTTTTGTTTTCCTTTTTACAATGTCTCATTCCATATATATTCCTAAAACGTGTGTGTATATATGTATTTATTTTTTAATGGTTTTTGATGTAGTAAAAAGAATATGCCCAGTACACACCTGTGAGGATAGCTAAAAAAACCACACACACACAGAAACCCCAAATGCTGGTGAGGATATAAAGCAACGGGCACTCTTATTCATTGTTGGTGGGAATGCAAAATGGTACAGCCACTTTAGAAGATATTTTGACAGTTTCTTACAAAGCTAAACATAGCAGCTAGGTATTTACCCCAATGAGTTGAAAATTTACGTCTGCACAAAGACTTGCACATGAATGTGTACAGCAGCTTTATCTTTAATTGGCAAAAATTGAAAAGATGTCTTTCAGTAAGTGAATGGATAAAGTGTAGTGCATCCAGACAATGGAATATTATTCAGTGAGAGAAATAAATGAGCTATCAAGCCGCAAAAAGACATGGAGGACTCTTAAATGCATATTGCTAAGTGAAAGAAGCCAGTCTGAAAAGGCTACGCACTGTATGATTCCAGCTATGTGATATTCCGGAAAAGGCAAAACTATAGAGACAGTAAAAAAGGTGAATGGTTGCCATGGGGAACAGGGAAGATGAATAGGTGAAACTTAGGGCATTTTTTACAGTGGCGAAACTCGTTACTAAAACCAATAGAATAGCGGTGTATAACACCAAGCATACATCTTAATGTAAACTATGGACTTTTGTTAATAATAATGTATCAATATAGGTTCATCAATTGCAACAAATGCATCACATAAATGCTGTAGTAATAATAGGGGAAACTATGCAGTGGCAGGGAGAGGGTATATTGGAACTTTGTGCTTTCTGAACACTTTTTTCTGTAAACCTAAAACTGCTCTAAAAAATAGTCTGTTACAAAGAGAAAGAATATTCCTTTGTATTCTATTGTAACATGGGTAAGATTCAACCATATATTATGTATTTATTTCATTCATTTTCAGTATTGTATGATGTTACAGTGTGTGAACATACCACACTTTGTCTGATTTATCATGGATGGACATTTCAGTTGCTTCCAGGTTTTTAGTGTTGTGATCAGTACTGCCAGAAACATTCTTGTATGTGTCTCCTGTTATAGATATGCAAGAGCTTTCTTTGATCTACTCAGATCTATACCTAAAAATAGAATTGTCGAATAACAGGCTATGTGAATATTCAATTTTAAAATGTAACGTCAAACATTTTTCCAAAGTAGGCACATGGATTTGCACTTCCATTAGCTTTGTGTAGGAGGGCCTATGGATGGAGCTACATCCTCTTCAATACTGGCTTTTATCAGACTTTTTACATTTGGGTCAATGTGGTCTTAAATTGCATTTAGCTAATCAATAAGATTGAATATCTCCTTATATTTTATTAGCCATATGTTTCCTCTTCTGAAAAATGCCTGTTGATGGGAGTGTAAAGTGGTGCAGCTACTGTGGAAAACAGTATGGCAGTTCCTCAAAATTAAAAATGGAATTACCATATGATCCCTCAATTGCACTTTTGAATATACATCCCAAAGAATTGAAAGCAGGATCTCAAAGAGATACTGTACACCCTGTTTATAGCAGCATTATTCACAATAGCCAAGACGTGGAGGCAACTCAAGTATCCATTGATGGATGAATAGATAAACAAATTGCGGCATATATGTACAATGGATTATTATTCAGCCTTAAAAAGGAAGGAAATTCTGACACCTGCTACAACATGGATGAACCTTGAAGACATTATGCTAAGTGGAATAAGCTAGTTCTAAAAGGACAAATGTTGTATAATTCCCCTTATATGAGGTTCAGAGAATAGTCAAATTCAGAGAGAAGGAAAGTAGAATGCTGGAAGCTGGGGAAGGGGAGAATGGGGAATTAGTGTTTAATGGGTACAGAGGGTCAGTTTGGGATGATGAAAAAGTTCTGGAGATGGTAGTAATGCAGGTTGCATAATAATGTGAATGCACTTAATTTTACTGAACTGTACACTTAAAAATGGTTAAGATGGTCAGTTTTATGTGTATTTTACCACAATCTTTTAAAAGGGGCTGAGAGAGATTTCTTCAAGAAGACGAAATGTGATGAGTACCTAATTAGTTTGATCTTATTAAAAAGAGAGCAAACAACTGAGGGGGATTTAGGAGATATGTTAATAAGTACATGGAAAACTGAGGGAAAAGAAAATAGACATTTACTAAGTTGCATGGGAAAGGAAACGTAATTATATTGTATTATTTGGCTCAGCTGTCCTTATCATTTACATGGTCATACAAACAAACATTCAATA